GAAATTGTAGCAACTTTTTATGACAAAGAGGTTAACTAGTAAGTTACACTTGAAACAACGCTTGTATTCTCATCTCATGACAAAAGGTAGATATTTAGAAAATCATTTATCGGTGTTCAAAGAAATCGTCACTGATTCGGAGACCATGGAGGGCAAATATGATAAAGAGGATTTAGGGTTGATATTGTTATGTTCAATGTCGCCTTCATATGTGACTTTTAGAGATACCATTATCTATAATCAGGATACTCTTACTATTGATGAAGTATATGATACACTTTATTCTAAGAAGAAGATGGAGAATCTGTTCGTCAGTTCTGAGACCCAAGCAGAAGGTCTTGTTGTTCGTAAGAAGAAGACAGGTGATCATGGAAAAGGTAGAGTCAATGATAACGACCATGGTAAAGTCTATTGGTATTACAACAATAAGGGGCACATGAAGAAGGATTGTTATAAGTGGCAGAATTGGTTTGCTACTACAGATCAAATGGAACGACCAGAAAATTCTGGTAATGTCAATCTTGCAGAAAAAGAAAGTAATAGAAATCTATTGGCGATTACTGAAGGTGACTCCAAACCGATGAGGATTGGATTCTTGATTTGGCTTACACTTTTCATATGTGTTATGTGACTTTTAGAGATATCATTCTCTATAGCCAGGATACTCTTACTATTGATGAAGTATATGATATGCTTTATTCTAAGGAGAAGATGAAGCATCTGGTCGTCGGTTCTGAGACCTAAACAGATGGTCTTGTCATTCGTAAGAGGAAGACAAGTGATCATGGAAGAGGCAGAGTCAAGGATAACAACAATTTTAAAATCTGTTGGTATTGCAATAACAAGAGGCACATGAAGAAGGATTGTTATAAGTGGCAGAACAGGTTTGCTACTACAGATCAGATGGAAGACCAGAAAATTTTGGTAATGTCAATCTTGCAAAAGAAGAAAGTGATAGAGATCTGTTGACGATAATTGAAGGTGACTCCAAACTGATGAGGATTGGATTCTTGATTTGGCTTGCACTTTTCATGTGTTTAAACCGAGATTGATTTTCTTCGTATGAAACAGTTACAAGGTATGGGTGTTATTATCTGCTTTTACTTGGGTGTTATTTGACCTATACCCTGGTGAGTATATGGAGCAGGTATGGTATGTGTTTCTGATCCGAAACACGAGGTAATGTCTGTGATTTCAATTTTATTGGTTGCCTTGACTTCCTTTGTGTTTTTAGCCTCTTTTTGGCCCTCTTCTATTCCTTTCTTTTTTATTTTTTTTCGTTTGTGGTTTACAAATCATCACCTTTTTTGTCTTTTGTGGGTGAGATTGAGGAGCAATTGAGGTGAATATATTAACTGTGGGTTGGAGCCGTTTGGATTTGTTGTTTAATAGAGAAAGATAACGTGAAATTAAACCCCAAAAACACCGATTTAACAATTTTTGGAGCAAGCTTCCGCAACAAGCCTAAGAAATTATTTTAATTTATTAGAGTTGTTGATATATGTCACGACCATTTCAGTTCTCCTCACCTCAAGAAATAGTCAAAACAAAGTTGTCAAGGTGCAAGGCCAAAAGAACGAGTAAAACGTTAATACATATTATAAATCAAAAGAATTTTATGCTGAATTATAATATATAAGAACATCTTGATGACATGATTTAAAAAATACAATAAAATTTGTTAATTGTCGCATTCAATTCATCGTACAAAATCGGTTGATTCTATGAAAAAACACAAAATATGATTTTTGAGAGACATCCTGATTGATAATGAGACCCAATACCATCAGGCTATCTTTGTTGCTTGGGAAAATAATAGCCAAAATTATATATATACACGTTTTACTTTTTCAAAGGTATCTCAAATATTAATTTCTTAAAAAAACAATTAATTAAAAGCATATATGCTCTTATGTAATATTGATTCTTTGGAAAATATTTATGGTTAAAAAGTAGGAAAAAATATGGAGAAACATGAAAAATAATTTTGTAGAGAACGTGCAGTTGAAAATGAATGTGAAAAATAAGCGATTCTTCAATAATTAAAATTAAACAAGGACATAAATGTGTGTGCGCGTGTGTGTATATATTTGTCTTTTTTATTAAAACAATTTTTTTAAATTTTTGACGCAACGATGATCTGTCAATTGAACCACTGACCCTCTAATTTGATGCTTTAGCTGAATCAATGATTCGATCGAATCTAATAACTATGGTTATAGAGCTTGTTTGTGAGTGATTTTTGGGGGAAGAATTGATTTTGAATAGTGATATGATGAGAAATGTGTAGTTGAAAAAAGAAGAAAAAATTATTGATGTGATGAAAAATATTATTATATTGAAAAATGTGTTGTTGAAAATAAGAATTGATTTACTGTAGAAAAATCTAAATCCCTCCAAAACAGGACCATAATGTGATAATATGAGCATATTTTATATGCCACAGAATAGTTATATAAATTTATAATAATAATAATATTTTATTCTATCTTATCTATGTGTAGTATAATTAAATAATTCCACGTAAGAAGAAAGGTATATGAAGCCAAATTCGTTAAAATAAATGTGGTTCGATGTTTTCAATCGTTCTTAAATGTAGTGATGGAACGTAGCGAAGGAGACATTGACTTTCATGTAATTTCTCCGATATTACTTTCTGCACACATTTTCTTCGTATTTCTCCGAAGCTTCTGCCTTCATGGCACGTTATGTCATCGAATTAGAGAGGATTAAGTATAATTAATTAAATTAATATTTAAAATTTAATCTATTATACGTTTTTATATTTACATATATCCAACAAATGAGTATAGGATAAAGACACTGAAAATAATTAGTCAATGTCTGAGCCTCGTTTTCTAAAAATTCATTTTTAATCACACGTTCTTTCAATAAAATATTTCACACGTAAAATTAAAATTTTTTTTTTTTTAATTTTTAACCACACATCCTTTCAAAATTCACTATTAGAAAACTCATTTTAAAAAAAAGGCTCAAATATAGATTTATCGTAGAAAATAAAAAGTTATAATCTTTTTAATCGTTGTACTGATACCATAATCGTGTCCATGACTTTGCAACAAGGTTATCAATTCAGTCAAAATCACATTAATTTCAATCACATTCATGTCCAAGCATCAAATTTTTAAATTCGGTCAAAGTAATGTTAATTTTAATCACATTCATAATTAATACTTATTATTATCTTTCTATATATTGTATGGGATTCACTTCTATTCGTCTTAATATTTATCTTTATAACCATTTCTCTTATGTCTGGAATAATTTATAAATATCTAAAAAAGCTGGTTTTAATCCACAACAATTGGTGTTATATATACAACGCGTATATGTACGCGTCGGGGTGGGGGTGGGGTGGGGTGGGGTGGGGGAAATAATCCAATACGAAACCTTTGCTATAAGATACATCACACTAAAAATTAGAGGGGAGAAAAGAGAGAGATGGGAATCTGCTTTTCTAAGCCTACGGCAGCGGAGCGTAAGATTTACAGCGGCGCCGACGCCAAACCTGCCGGTGTCACCCCAGGTATATATACACTCTTAACACCTACAGATTCATTTAATACTCTTTTGTAAATATTTTTTCCAAGTCACACGATAACATTTTTGTAATCACTTTCTTTCAGTTCATAGTCATGCAAGGTCAATCAAGAACCCTAATCCCACCACCACCAATATTGTTCAGCACCGTGAGTCGCCGCCTAACGGAGGCGGAAACGGCAGAGGTGTTCGGACAAGTGGGCGTATTATTACTCCAAAATTGAAAATGTTCACCTTGGCAGAACTGGAAAGTGCTACAAGAAATTTCAGAGCTGATAGTTTGTTGGGAGAAGGAGGTTTTGGAAGGGTTTTTAAAGGTTGGATTGATGAGAAAACTTATTCACCTTCAAAATTTGGTGTGGGAATGCCTGTTGCTGTCAAGAAATCAAATCCACATAGTGATCAAGGACTAAATGAATGGCAGGTCAGGGTTAGATATTTATTTGCATTATTAATTCTTATGGACCGACGGTGTAAAAAAGCCGGCACCTAAGTTAGTTGCTACACAAATAAAATCACAATATGACACCTCAGTGGTCTCACCTTAGGACCACCGAGGTGACTACATGACCATAAATTTCGGAGTATCGTGGGACTAGTCGAAGTGTGCGCAAACTGACTTTAACACCCATGGTTATAAAAAGAAAATATATAATTCTAAACTTTATTTACTCGTTAAATTTTTATATAATAAAAATTCTTGAGAAAAAGGCACGTGTCAATCTTATTTGATCTTGTCAAACTATCTTGTTAATGGCCTCTAGTGAGATTTCTTGCTACATTTAACATTGAAGAAATGTGACTTCTTCATTTTGTAATGGGACACATTGAGTCTAATGTCGATAATCCAGTCGCACGCACTTTTGGCAATTGGTCGAAGATTGGCATGTAACAAATTTCATTGCACTTGCCCAACATAGTTGATGATGAGTCGAGTTAAGTTGTTGCGGGATAATTATATTTAGAGTAGGATGATGAGTCGAGTTAAGTTGTTGCGGGATAATTATATTTAGAGTAGCCTGTTGAATAAGTCTCCTTCCTCAACCTAATTCTTCACTTAAAAATTTTTTATTTTTTATTTTTTTGGTTTGGAAATAGAGAGTCAAAAGAATTGAGGTAATGATAAAAATAGTAGTCCAACTTCTGCGGATTTCACGTTGTATATATAGATAGAGAAATGGACCATACTAAGCATTGATAGTATATAGGACTTGTCTGGTAAAAATTTTCAACAGCTTTTAAGCTAAAAAATGACCTTTTTTTTTTCAACTAGTGGGTCCCACCAGCGAGACCAAAAGTCAACAATGGCTGCCTTATTTCCTTCTAACTGTTCAAAATGCCATTTTTTTGGTTTAAAAAGCACTCCCAAACATGCTCATAATAATAATTCATTCTTGGATAATAAATTTAGGCTGTGTCTATTAGTGATTTTCATCGGATTTTCAGCATAAATATGGCCTTTTTTTCAAATGCTGGGCCCACACCTCTCACACACAGTCAAATGTTGCGACTGCTTTTTATCCCAACGGTTGAAATTTCAATTACAATCTGCCAAAGAATTGGCACCAGACACGCTCTTAATTCAAATATTGAGACACACCATAAGTTTGTTGATGCTTAACATAAGATAAGCACCAGTGCTCCTTATAAATAATGGATGCCCTCTTCTGTAAGCTGACTTTAAAGGTAAATTCAAGAGCTGTGTGACAGAATTTTCATCGATCTAGTCCAGTTTCTTGCACACTGTCCACCCTGCCCATGAATAGTAGTTTTTAATTTCAGTTTATGTATTTTCATTTGCTTTACTTGTGAATTTTATTTTTTTTGCAGGCGGAGGTTAATTTTTTGGGAAAATTTTGCCATCCTAATCTTGTTAAACTATTAGGTTACTGTTGGGAGGAGACACAATTTCTTTTGGTTTATGAATACATGGAGAAGGGAAGTTTAGAAAGTCAACTTTTCAGAAGTAAGCATTAAGTTTAAGCAATTATGTTACAAGCAATGTGCTTTATTTTTAGAATAATATTTATGTTTTTGTTAAATAAGTAACTTTTCACTTATAAGTAAATAAGCATTCTTGTATTACATTTCCAGAGGATGCAGCAGAACCTTTGCCTTGGGAGACAAGGATTAAAATAGCAATAGGAGCAGCCAAAGGACTTGCATTTTTGCACACAACTGAGAAGAAAGTTATATTTCGAGATTTTAAGGCCTCCAACATATTGCTTGATGGGGTAATTAAATTAGGCTTCTTAGTCAATCCACATATCACGAAAAATAAAAAATAAAAAATTATCATGTAATCGATTTATTATCATTTTTCAATTTTCATTGCGTAGGACTTCAATGCGAAGCTTTCGGATTTTGGATTGGCTAAGTTAGGTCCGACGAACGGTAAATCGCACGTTACAACACGAATTATTGGCACATATGGATACGCAGCTCCTGAGTACATGGCTACAGGTAATTGTAAATAGAGCGTTGTCAAAGAAATCTTCAGAGAGGGAGCGTTTGCAATTTCTGAAAACTTGTCTGTATATTTTCCCTTTTTTTCCATATATATATATATATATATACAATCCCATTTCTTTTTCATCGACATGTAGGGTTAATTCAAAAATTGAAAATGTTGCAGGTTATTTGTACGTGAAGAGTGATGTGTATGGATTTGGTGTGGTTTTATTGGAGATAATAACGGGCATGAAAGTTTTAGATATGAATAGGCCCAATGGAAAAAACAACTTGGTGGATTGGGCTAGGCCTTTCCTACCAAATAAAAAGAAGCTGAAAAAAATGATGGATCCAAGGCTGCAGAACCAATACCCTTCAAAAGCTGCATTTCAAATAGCAGAACTCATACTTAGGTGTCTCGAGCCTGACCAGAAATACAGGCCCGAAATGGAAGAAGTTTTGAAGAGTTTGGAACAAATTAATACCATCAAAATGAAATTGAAAGAGTTTAGACACAGAGAGCAGCACGCGACTGATCATCACCGGTCGCCTCATTTGACTTACCGGTGGCAAAATGTGGAAACTTGATTGGGTTATCTAACTTTAATTTGACTCGATCAAATCATTGAACTTCGATTTATTGTCAATGCTACTAAATTTAATGTCACAATCCTACCTAGAATTAATTGAATAATGCTAAGTGAACACAATCTTTTACACCTCTCTCACATGGAGGGGGGCCCACACATAATAAAATAATCGTGGACCCCCCTCCATGTGAGAGAGGTGTAAAAGATTGTGTAAAAGTGTGTGTGTACATGTAGCATTACCCATATATAAATATTTTTTTGACAGTAATGGTTTTGGTTTATCAACTTAAATGAGCATTGAGATTTGAATAATGCTAAGTGTACACAATCTTTTACACAATTTTTTACACCCACCTCACATGGAGGGGGGCCCACACATAATAAAATAATCGTGGACCCCCCTCCATGTGAGAGAGGTGTAAAAGTGTGTGTGTACATGTAGCATTACCCGAATTAATTATACCCAGTTTTTCCTTTACTTCTCTTTTTATTTTATTTTTGCCACTTATTTGTTTAGGCTTGGTTATCCGTCTCTCTTGAGTTGCTGGCCTCTTTCTGTGTGTTTTATTGGGCCTTAATGGCTTGGACCTCATGTATTGGGCTTCAAGCCCATTAGTTCGATTATCATGTCCCTTGAGACGGTGAGTTTCGTTGCCCGAATAAAAAGTTAAAAACTTCACATTTTTGTAATTTATCGATTTGAACTAAATGACTAGTTTGCTTACGGATTTTGTTCACGGATTTTAATGCAGAAAGGAGAATAAGAAAAAATAGGAAATGACCATTACTATGATAATTATTTATTTATTTATTTATTTATTTATTTTGTATTTTTATTTTTGATGAATCGCTTTGATAAGCTTGTTGATTCGAATCCACGTAGCAATGGTAGCTGCGAAACCCACACAAGATTGATTCAACCCAAGAAATCAACGCTCAAACTTGATTCAAAAATATTGAATCAAGGAACCAACACAATCGCCGATAATATATTGACCCCGTGATTACAAGATTCAAGAATCACACTCGACTTGTTTGAACGCCACAAGAAATAATCTTAATAGTTCACAATTAATTCAATGAAGAACGAAAAGAAAACAATATGCATTGCACTAAAATTTCTCAAATTGTGTCTGTAACAATAAATAGAATGAGTCCTACTTTTAGGAAACTCATAAAACCTAGCTAGAAAACGGAATTAAGTTTCAAAGATATAAAAAAAAATCAGACAAGAGTTTTAACTAAAATAGAAGATTAGGCAAAATTTGAAAAATTCGCAACCCAGATTGAAATATGTGGCCATATAGGCTAATGGCATGCTGTCGCATAGTTGTATCTTGAACCTTCAACTTCGTTTCGGTAAAGGGCTATGCGATCGCACCTTCAATATAACTATGTGGTCACATAGTTGTCCTGAACAGCTTTCTCGTCTGTTACTTGAACCACGAGGATCCATCTAATTTCTTCTTCCACGCCCAACATGAAACTAGTTCATTTGTTTGTTGTGATCGATATTTCACCAACTGTTGCTTGAACAAGTAATCTCATAACTTTTTTGACCCGTTTCGCTCGCGACCTAGTCATAGACCCTTCCTCAATGATTAATGAATCATTGCCCGGACTTGCCCTCGTATCATGAATCACATCATCCCGTTCCTCTTCGAAATGATTTGACCTCAAATCAGTAGTTGCATCAAAGAGAGCAAGAGCAGAGACATTAAAAATACAAATGATCATAAACTTATCTTGAAGATTAAAATTGTAGCAATTGGTTTCAATCTTTTCAATGATGTGGAATGGTCTATCTCATCTAGGATGTAATCTTGATCTCTTTTGCATTTGAACAAGCCGTTTTTGCCTGAGCATCCAAACCCAATCACCTGGTTCGAATACTTTACGCAACTTCATTTTGCTACCTTGAGATGCATATAATTCAATCATCTACTTTCCATCTAAGCTACCACTTAGAATAATAGTTAAAGAAATTAAACAAAACAAAGTTAATGGATTTAAACCATAAACCATATTAAAACGTGTAAGCGAAATAGTAGAAAATATTAAATTGGTTCCCAACATATTCCATAAATATTCCATAAAGTCGAACAAAAATAGTTAAGGATTTCAAGATTAAAATATAAATTTTCATGCATCAAATCACCAACAATGCTCCACAAATTTCTATCATGCTCAATTAATTTTTTGTAACATACTAGGAGTAGCATTAACTAGTAATTATTTGCCTATGAATTCATATGACAAATAACTTATTACTCTCATAGAAATATTAGATGCATTAATATGTGTAAAAGTACACGCTCCATGTAAAAAAATATTAATACGTTCTAGACCATCATCTAATCTATGTATGGGATATTAATTATTTACCATGCCATAGTGGAATGTTTCTCCTTCAATGCTCATGAAATTCTCCACTTGCCTCGAATCAATTGGATACTCGATGGGTGGTAACCCACTAATAAGTATTCATGGAATGAGTCTTTGATTTTCTGCAATAAAGAAATATCTAAACTGAGGAGGGATTTGTTAGTTCTCACTAAAGCCCTCTCAATCTCACATTTTTTTCGTATAGAAATTCACTTTTAATTTTTCTCTCCTTTCAATAGACTCTCTTTCTTTTTTTCTCTTGTGGCTCTGCTCTTTTTTCTGACAATTAGCCACCCCACTATTTTTTCTCCTACTCTCCTTTTGTTTTTCCTTTGTTTTTCTTTTCTTCCTCGCCTCTCAATCTCAATTGGTTCTCATAAACTTGTTGTGGTGTTAATGATACAAGAGTAACAGCTTTCCCATCTTTTACAAATTTGTACCTATTCTTGAATCCATCATGTTTAACCTTCCTATAACACTTTCATAGCCTTTTACATCACACATCACTTCATTACTATACTTTCCAATTGAGAAATTCACCAAAACTTGCCTACTTACCCTAACCTCTCAACATTCATTTAACCACTGCAATTTATAAGGCGCTTAGGATGTTTTATCGTAGTCAATCCTAATTTCTCAATAAGTGTAGTACTAGCAATATTAGTATAACTACCTTCATCAATAATCAAACTAAATACCTTATTTTTGACATGGCATCTAGTATGAAAAATGTTCTCCCATTTGCTGCTCTACATCATCCAATTTAATTTGTGTATTGAAAGCACGCATTACCTCATGTAACTAACATCCTAGCGAGTACTCTATTCCATCTCCTTCATTAGTATCATCTAACGCGGGCATATCATCACCATCACTATCATTCATCACTTCTTCATTATTACGCAAGGCCATTGCCATTTTGTTTGGACATTAAGAAACAATGTGTCTCGATCCCAAACACCTAAAACATTTGATATCTCGTGTCTTATAAGGTTGGGAATCCATTTTGGGTATAATTTTTCTAACAACTTCCTCATTTTCCCTTGGTGGTTTGGTCTTAATACTCGAAACAGCCACATCACCTCTATTATCATCTCACTTCAATTCCAAAAAGAGTTAAAACCCGATGTATATCTAGCTGTCTCATTCCTCTTCAGTTGTCTTTCCACCTTCATAGCTACATGTAGTATGTCTTTCAACTCTACATAATGTTGCAACTCTACTACATTAGTTATGTCCTTATTCAAACCATTCAAATTGGACCATTGTGGCCTCCATATCCTCCTCAACATTCGCTCTAATCACAGCAATCTCCATCTCCTTGTGATAATCCTTCACACTCCTAGAACCTTGGTAGAGGCCATGCAATTTTTCATAAAGCTCCCTATAATAATAATTAGGCACCAACATCTTCCTCATGATAGCCTTCATTTCTTCCCATATATTAATAGGCATCTCACAGTTCCTCTTCCTGGATGTTACTACTAGATCCCATCAAATGATAGCATAATCAGTAAATTCAAGCGACACAATCTTTACCTTCTTTTCCTCCAAGTAGTTGTGGCAATCAAATATCAATTCTACTTTCTTTTCCCACTCCAAGTATGCCTCTGAATAACTCATTCATTTGAATAAAGGAATTGTAATTTTGATATTGCCCATACTTCTATTAACATTATTTCCAACAATATCTCTCATTCGTCCTAACTCAACATCCACCAATGCATCATCATTAATGTCATTATCTGCTTCCCATTCACCAGCAAATTCGCTCGATGATCCCGCCTTCCTTGCCTTCTTACGTTAGGAATATCTCTAAGTTGTTCCCTATGTAAGTTAGCAAGCAACGTGTCTTGTCGATCTAACCTGTATTTCACATCCTCAAATAACCTTTCAAACCGTCGTATCATCTCATCCGACATGTTGACTTGTCTATTATTCATGCTTGAAGTAGAGTCGACTCTATCCGACATCCTAATTCTAATTTAAATTTTGCCTCACGTGTATGCGCTCGTGTATCACTCAAATTGATTTTTTCCTTCTATTAGTCTCACCACTCTTACATTTTTCCACTCAATGCTTTCTTACAAGTGATTCAAATAACTAATTCGATCTCAATCAAAATTAATCCTTGTAGAGTTTCAACAAAGATTTGAGTAAGAAAAAAATGACTCTAGAATAAATCAAATAGTAGAAATTGACACTTTGAATGGAAACTAAGGAAATATTCAAGAAGGTTTTTCTTGAATTAGAATTGGACACTTTTGAATTTGGAAATTTTTTTTTTTTTTTTTTGAAATAAAAATGAAATTATATGGTGCTGGCAATTTTTTTCCAAATTTTCGTTTTTGTTTTTACTCGAAAATTCAACAAAATACTATTTAAAGAAACAAAAACTGATTTGGATACTAAATAAGCACACAAACAAGTTTTGAAATTTTTTTTTGGGATTGGAAACTAAAAAAAATGAAGAACGTGAAGAACACGAAAAATAAAGAACAAAAGACTCAAACAAAAATGAAAAATAACTAAGATATAACCTTAATTTTTGGAGCCTTGCTCTAATAACAACTGATGCGAACCTACGTGATAATGGTGGTTACAAAACCAACA